TGGTATTGTGTGAAATGTACCTCTAGAGAAGCTAGTGTTAAAGATGTGCATGTCATTCTTCATTAACTTGCTGACCTTCTCTCTCTCTTGTTCTCTTCCAGTTGGTCCACAAAATACTATCATTACTGCATCTCCAGGCAACTCGCCAATGGAAGGAGACTCTGTAACCCTCACTTGTGTGACTGAGAGTAATCCACCAGCACAAATAGTTTGGAGAAAACATCTGGCTGATGAAAGCATTCAGCATCTGATAGAAAATGATGTCCTTTCTATTCCCCATGCCCGTTTCTCTGATTCAGGACTGTACATGTGTGAAGTAATTAATCTGGTAACTAATAAAACAGAGAAAGCAACCATGGACATTGTTATACAAGGTACAAATCTGCATGAATTTAACTTGTATCATCCAGTACCCAACTGGCATCTGCCTGTTGGGTTGGAGGATGCTGAAACACTGAAAACTAGGAAATTACGGGGTCGTCTTTGTTACGTATTCAGGATTTAGCTTTCAATTTACTGCTGCTCTTCATGGGCTGTGCTTTTCATTTCTGTGCTTGATTTCTAGTTAATTCTCTCTGTACTGCCGTTGTACATGCACACTTCTATACATTTCCTGCAATGCAATGCTCAAAGTGATAAAAGAGTCTGAGAAAGTGGTGATGGTGGGGACACTGTTATTTCTTTGAAATGCTAATGTACAGAGCAATTTCATAGGCACATCACAGTTTCCTTCTTTGACCTAGTGGTTTTAGTCATTAGTAGTAAATTTAGTAGTCATTTAATAGTAAAGCTATTTTGGACATTATTATTACTACTACTACTACTGGTACTTTTCAATGGAGCCAAAAGTCTTGGGAGCCTGGGACCAAAACCTTGGGCAAGCAATTCCTGCTTTCTTAAAACCCTCTCTGTCTTTAGTACTTTTGCATTAGTATAACAGCCTTTTCTTTTGTCATGCAGGTGCCCCAAACATCACAGAACTCTCCATTGAGCCTTCTACAACAGTTCAAGAAGGAGAAAAAGTGTCCATACAATGTTCTGCTGAGAGTAACCCTCCTCCCAAGATTATTTTAAGGAGAAAATCTGACGGCGCAGACATGGGGCCTTACAGTGAGGGGAGAACTCTCCTCCTTCCATCTGTGACATTCCTAAATGGAGGAGACTATGAATGTATAGCAGAAAATAAGTTTGGGAAAAGTAAGCGTGAAATAACATTTAACGTGGAATGTAAGTATTTGTAATGTTTTCCCAATCATTTAAAAATAATTAGTTAATTCTCCACTTACTTCAGTCATAAATGTAACCATCCAACTAAACAAAACCCTGTGAGTACAAAAAAGCAGCATAGTCCTCTGCTTTTCCCCAAAGGAGTAGTGCTGATGAGCAAAACAAAGACATGAAATCTTTAACGTAATGACAGTCTTAAGTCAGGATCTGAATGAGCGAGAAACCTTCTTAACATATGTGGTGAGAAGTACTTGGTTCGTATGTTTAGGCTATAGAGAGTTTGTATGGAAGCTCTGATACTGTGTGCTTTACTTATTCTGAGAATAAAAAGGAAATTAACTTTGGGAGGCTGACAACCTGGCATCCAGGAGGACCTGTTGAATCCATCTCTAAAAAAAAAATCTGGTGATGATTAATTACAGGATTCTTTGTTTCAGATGGGCCGAAGAACACAATGATCTCTGTTATCCCTGCTACTGCTGTTAAAGAAGGGGAAACCGTGACAATGAAATGTCATTCTTCTGGTAATCCAGCTCCAGTGATCTCTTGGAAGAAAAAAAAGGCTACTGGGGAGTCTCAGAAAATTTTTCAAGGTGCAGTTTTAACTATACAGAATGTAACAAGTCAAGATCTGGGGCTCTATGAATGTGAAGCTTATAACCAATTTGGCAAAGAAGAAAAAGCTGTGAAATTACTTGTTCAAGGTTAGTAAAACAAGACAGAACACATTTTTTTGTTTTATGTATTTTGGGTCCAGATCTCATTCTGTAAAGGATGGGGAAATTGTGTCTTTAATGTGAATGAAGTTAAAAGATGGCCCTAATGTCATTAAGTCAATTAGGAAGCTTTAAACAATGAAGGTGAGATCTGCCTTAGTACAGAGAGCTTATGCAAAGTTCTCGCGTCACTTGAGGTTCCATCACTCCTTCCAATTGGCAAATACATACATGAGGCAACGCAGCTGTGCAGTGCCTATATTTTCTTCCAGATGGGTCTCGGTGGAAGATCCAGATACCTGCATACAAAAGATTCAAAGAGAAAGTACATGCTGAAACTTCTCTGTGGAGGGACTGTATTGCAGCGCCTTGGCTCTCCTTTAAGTTGTGACTTTGTCCTGTTCTCGCAAGCTATACCAAATGCTGATTCCTCAGCCTGCACACAATGGTAGCAAAGTTTCTTTTTTAGTAGTAAGCAAGCTTCTCTGCTTTAGCCCTGTTGCTTCTGTTTATTGTGTGGCAGCAGTGTATTGCTTAGGGATCACTTCCTTATTCTTTACCTATTTTTGTAGCTGCATGAAAAAATACACTTTCAGTTTTCCCTTCAAGTGCAGTGATACAAGGAGAAAGCGTTACCATCTCTTGCCCATCTGCGGCTGTTAGATCTGTTCAGAGTACTCCGTGAAAGAAAATAGGTGATGGCATCACAGCCCTTGAAACAGTAGATGGCAAATATACCGTAGACAGGGCTCAGCTAAAGGATGTGGGAAGATATGAATGCATATCATCAATGAACCGGGAGAGCAGTCCCAGCACATAGTACCTTATGTCAAAGGTTAGTTAAAATAACTACTGTACAGGAATTGTTTTAGACAGACAGGGTGGCATCTTCACTCTGGTTCCATTAAGAATTGCCTTTAAAAAAACTGAGACGAGTTGCACAGGTTCTTGTCATAAGTGGTAGGATCTTAATGCTACTGAAAACCTCTGTCCAAACAACAGATGCACAAAATACTTGCTGCTTCAAAATTTTTCATGGTTCCACTTCCACCTTTGAAAATAGGATGTAAAATTGTGGAACCTAATGAATAAAATAATCTTCTAGGACTTCTTCCTTTGCCTTTCCTTTTTCTCTTCTGTTGAAAGAGGACATCAACCTCTGCATCTGAGGGTCTGTGTCCTTTCATGAACTCAAATGAATCAACAGTGAATTTAAAATAAGAAGAAAAGGCACCATGTAATGTAAAAGATCTGCAACGTACTCCATCAATGGATAAAATGTTCTTTCTGTCAGCTGCGGTTGACCGCAGCATGTGGAGGATAGCTAGTGACAGAGTAGTGTCCAACGCTCTGTGCTCAAACATCACAGTGAGTCCATTAACTGGATTAGTACTTTGTGTGTGCAAGCTGCTGATTTTTTTGCTTCTGTTTGTTGCAAAATCCTACCTTGCATTTCTTTTCTTTTCAGTTCCTCCACAAAATATTACTGTGTTAGTATATCCATCAGAAAATGTCAAAGAAGGAGAAAATGTCACTATTGCATCTAGCACAGACAGTAACCCATCATCACAGATGGTCCTGAAAAAAGTCCATCAGGAGAAAGAAATTATTCTGCCATCAGCGAACGGAACCTTTATACTCTACAATGCCACCAAAAATGATACAGGCAGATATTTGCTTGATGTTTTCAATGGGGTTGGAAACAACATCAAAGTGATTGAGATAGCTGTTGCAGGTAGGTAGGCAGGCCTATTGCCTTAAACTTACTTTGTTTGCACTTTCTAATGAATTTTGTGTCAAGGTGAGCACTATTTTTTGGCTGATCCTTGCACAATAATACTGCAGTTAACCTAAAAAACCACCCAAAAAATCAAACCAAATAATAGAACAGCTGGTGAGAATAAGCTGTGTTTAACCTCCTTTCAGTGCAAATGTTATCTCTCTTACCTGAGTTGGGTGAGCTTTAAGGATAGGGCCAGACAAAGGTGGGTCCTGGCTGCATTTCTGTCCACATGCATGAACAGTGAGAAACTGTTCATGAATCCAGAGAAGGTTCTGTTTCACAAAAAGATCTGAAGATTGGGCTTTTTAAACATGGTCTTCTCCTGAAGCGTTGTTTCCAGGAGGTAGAAATGTCCCCAAATGCTTCCTGGCTAAAATACGTTATATTCTTCGTGAACTCCATGGTATTCTTCATTGTAGATGATATCAGATGGGTTTGAACATGCATAGCAAATTCAAGACCAAGGTAGTGGTTAAGAAATAAAGTGTGCAATACAGAGTTACTAAAGAAAAAAGCATAAGGAAAACATCTTGAAATGCGCTTTGCGGATAAAAACGGAAATAATGTTCCAAACGAAGGACGTTAATAACACTGCTTTTACAGTAATATACACGTATCTGTTTCAATCAGCTTTACATGCCTTTTTTTCTCCTTTTGTCTCCGTTTTCAGGAAGACTGGGAAAACCAGATCAAATGATAGCACTGATTATTGCGTTTTCCTGTGTAACAGCAATAGTAGTACCTGGAATTGCAATTTTGATCTACGTGGCAAGAAAAGCAAAGATAAATGGATCCTACAGTCTTGTAAAAGCACTCAGGCTGAAAGTGTGATCGCATGAATCTAAGTCTAAGTTCATAATAAGCAATGTTATTTATTGTTGTGACTGGTTCTACTATAATATATGGTAACAAACAAGTGACTTAAGAACACCGCCATTTGACAGCAAATGGATTTTTTTCATGTTTTGATCAGTATTTCAGTATTTAAATTAAAGGGAAAGCTAGCATCCAGTCCTAGAAGTTGGTAAATCACTTCTGTGTTGAAGCATGCTGTACGAAGAGTTCCTTGGAGAACTAGGTTTGTATGTAGTGTATAATCTGTGTTTATAAATACATTCGACTGAATATCAGTTTGTAAAATTGCAGTCTTACTGCAACTGTACAGAGAAGTGTTGTTAATTCAAAGCTATAAATCAGCATTACTTGAGCTGATCAAATGATAATATTTTATTTTGTATTATTCTACAGTGAATGTTTTTAATATAATTTGTCTGCTTGTGGTAATGTTTGGAAAATGTTCTCTTTTCACTCATATTGCCATAAACTGTACCTTCAATGAAGTTACACGACCACTGGGCTGTGCATTTCTAATTAATTTAAGATCTGAAGGCTCATTTGTGAAACACTTTATTTTTAAATATGATTCAGACAGTGTCTGGGATTATAGCCTAGTTAGTTTTAGGACAGCTGAGGTATTTTTGTAGGGTTTAATCACGCTCAAATCAGTGTCAGAATTCTGTTGTTATGAGCCAAATCAGACCCTTCATTTAGAAAATAAGCTGCCAATAAATATGCTTTACAGATTTCCACTGCCAAATAAAACTACCAGTAGGTTTCTCTGACTAGATCCCCCTAGTGATCTTGCTTAAGATTATGTTGGGATACACGTTCCTGTGGAAGGAACCAGTGAAAGCTATTATCCTTAGCAACAGCAGATTCGAGCATCATGCCTAGTTGTAAAGGCAGGAGCAAGGCAGGCAGTGACCTAAAGGCACAGGAAAGGGGGGGAGGCAAAATCTATGCAGCCTCAGCAACGGTGGTTGAGTTGTTTCCTGAAGAAATGCCCTTCCCAGGCTGCTCACTGTGGAAAACTAAACAATTTTCCTTTGAATGGACAAACGGTGTATGCATGCTTCGCCCTCGGTAGCCCTTCTTTTCACTGCACTCTCTCTCCAGTGTTGGCAAAACGGCTGTGAAAATAGTGGGCTTTCCATGCAGAGGCAAAGACGAGGGGGAAGGAGAAGTGGAGTTTGATGGCATTCTTTCTCCCTTACATGCCTTCTCCTGGCTAGCAGTGCTGCTTTGACTCATCAGGTTGGTGATGTTCAGCACTGAAGGCAAGGTCGTGGGAGGTGCAGGCGCTGTGGCAGAGATGTTGAAGTGCATCTAGTCTCAGCAGTGTGTTAGGCAGAGGAAGGTGGGCTTGGCTCCCTCCAGCTTGTGCACACAAAGTCAAGCACAAGGTCAAGCAGAGGCATGTGAAAAGAGTTTCTTTACATTATACAAATATTAACGATTGCCCCCAACAGCAATACAAATGCCGGTCTCTCTCGGTAGCCAGCTGCAGGATGAGGCAGCGGTGCAGATCCCCCCTATATTTTTTTCATAGCATGTTCAGCAGCATTTTGTGCATGGTACATCGGTGCATGCAGGGTCCTGTGCTTATCTATAGTTGGAAAGGGAGGCTTGGAAAGTGGGGGTGTAGCAGAAAAATGGGAGAGCAGTGTGGACTTGGCTAGGAGGAATATGAGCATGCAGTAGGAGGGCGAAGAAAAGATTGAAAACAGAGGAGGAGGAGAGCTTTGACAGGCCCATGACATAAATTTCTTGGAGGTGGTGCTAGGCAGATTTATTCAGAATAATGTCAGGCCTGTCTCAGCGCTGTCTTGTGAACAAACCAGAAAGCGTGATTTTTTTCAACTGTGCAAAACTTTGGTGCACGCCCATTTTGCCTACTGCGTATAGTTCAGGTATCTGTTTTGCAAGAAGGACAGTTAGAAAGAGGAGGAGGACTGGAAAATGGAAAAAACAAAAATGCCTGGGACTTTCCACTTCGGAGAGAGAATTCTGAAGGAGGAGGGGATGTGACTGATGTTTTCCAAATTGTGAAGGCAATTGATGGCAAACAACAGACGCGGAACTGCTTTTGTGCTAAGTCGTGCAATGCCAGAACTGCAGGGCACGCGAACTAAGGAGAGGGCAGTTTAGTGAAAACAATAGAAAATATTTCTTTACACTGTGAATGGTGAACTGCTGGAAGCTGCTGCAGAAGGTTGTGGAAGATAATGGTCTCAATTGGCTCAAAAGGGGAACAGAATAAATCACAGAATGGCAAGGGTTGGAAGGGACCTCGGGAGATCGTCTAGTCCAAGCCCCCTGCTGAAGCAGGTTCTCCTAGAGCATGTTACACAGGACTTCATCCAGGCGGAATCATGGACTAGGGGTCCAGAAACAAATAGTAAAGGGAATAGGCAGGAAAGTTCTGTGTAACATCCCTAATCCAATGGCCATGGATGCTGAGTGATCCTCAAGGAATGTGCTGCAGAAAGTGGCTGGGTTTGCATGCTCTCCTGAAACAGTGTCTCCCACTGCTGGAGACATACTGGGGTAGCTGGATCACTGGTGTGACCCAGGAAGGCATGCCTTGCCTTCTTACACCTTCTCTGAGCAGCCTTGGGCCAGGCCTACTTGGAGACAGGGCTTTGCAGTTCCCTGCTCTTTTCCCCTTTCCCGTAATCCCTTGGAATAAAAAGATGAGTGGGAGAGAAATAGGAGGCATCTTGCAACAGCGCTTTGGTGCTTGTCTGGTCTTCCCTGGAAATCCCTCCATGGGTTCCCGGTATCTTCTCCGCTGCTGGTTTCACCAGTATTTGTGATACAAACACAGGCCTTAACAGCTGCGTGGCTTGTCTGCCCTCTCAGGGTCCCCATGAAGTCATTTAAGTCAATAGGAGTTGGCCTGTGATTTCAACAGGGCCACTTCTTCACCCAGAAACACTAAGGGAATGGATGGAGCTTGTAGTGCTTGTTTTAGGAGAGGCTGCTCTTGTGTGGGCGGCGAGCTCCCTCCCAGTGAAATCACGAAGGAGGACCTTGCCAGGGGATCTCCTCCCCTTCGGCCTGGTTCTCGGTATTTTCCAGAACACTTAATGATTTGGGCAGAAGCTTGCCCTGTGGGGGTTAAAAGTTCACTTCTCTTTTTATTGAAAATTACAGAAGGATGTTGTTTCTCCTTGTGCTCTTTCTCATCAAGCAAAATGCGGAGCCTCTGCCCTGGCAAAAAGGCGTGAAGAGCAGCTCCAGCCCAGCAAGCGCTTTCAGAAGGGCTCAGAGCTGCCTGGAGGTGTGGGGTTTTTATGTTTTTATGACCATGAAAGTGGTCTGTAGAGCTCGGGGCTGTGACAGGTCTGCCCAGGCTTTCTCTACAAAGTCACCTCGCAGGTTTTGGAGTTGCATTTCCCCTTGCAGTTGCCCTTGCATCCTCAGAGCAGGGATTTATCCCAGCAATACCATGGGGCAATGCTAAAATGAGCCTGGATTTTAAGAGGTGATTGCAAAATCTCACATCCCCCTGCAGCTAGTTCAGGATGTGCTCTTCCTTAAAATGTAAAGCTCGAACAGCAGAAGATAACGTTTTTAAAACTTCTCCAAGAATGCTTTTGAATTATTTTGTAGGTGTACTGAAGGGAACAGTTACCACATCCCGTGACAGAGGTGCCGTTGTCTGCTGGAGATAACACTGGAGGCCCCGTGTTCGCAGGGACAGGCTCCCCCCGGTTTCGGGGACTGGCACAATGTCTGAGGCCAAACGACCTGATGTCTCCGGCTGCGGCAGCCCATTCGGCTTCATCGATCTGCTGCTGTGCTGGGCCAGGTAACTTCTACAAGCAGAGCATCTACCCCTGTAAGGAATCTGGTTTTGACTGGAAATTCCTCACAAATGGACAATATACTCTTGTCCTTGGTGGTTAGCTGTGCCCTTTCAGGTATATACACATGGCCTACGTCCTAGTCCTGTTCTCGCCGCAAGATAATTGCATACTATAATCAAGCCATCCCTTATTTCTTTGATAAACTAAACAGACTGAGCTGTTGTAAGGCTACCTTTCTCTGTAAGGCATTTTCTACAGCAGTAGATAGTCGTTGTGGGCTTTTCTAAACCCCCTCCAGCACTTCAACATGCCCTTTAACATGTGGCAAAAGATCTGTATATGATCCTCCAGTGCCCACTTCTGCCAGTGCCAGAGGTGATTTTGCTTCTTTACTCCTCCTCTGTGCGGCTCTGCTTCCATAAACAGCCTTTTTTTATATTTGCCTTTTTTTTTTTGGTCAGAGAATCACTGCCAGGAATAAAGAATAAGTCAATTCCTTATTCCTATTACAGTTTCTGGGTCCTTTGTAGGATACAGTTACTCGGAGCTGTTCTTAGTACGGCTTGTTGAAACAGAAAGCTATGTGATACAAAGTCAAATGCCTCATGAGTCCAAATACCTTAAATCTAATTTGTCTGATAATGCCTATGTTCCATAAAACCATGCTGACTGGCACGAATTATGTTTTCTATCCTTTAATCCCTGTATCAGCTTTTCCCATTATTTAAAACTTTGTTGTACCAACCATCAGAGCCCCATCCAACCTGGCCTGGAATGTTCCCAGGGATGGGGCCTCCACTCCCTCTCTGGGCAACCCGTTCCAGTGTTTCACCACCCTCATTGTAAAGAATTTCTTCCTTATATACAGTCTAAACCTACCCTGGTTTAGTTTATAACCATTACCCCTTGTCCTGACACAGCTGGCCCTACTAAAAAGATTTTCCCTGTCTTTCCTATAGGCCCCCTTTAGGTACTGAGAGGCCGCAATCAGGTCTCCCCACAGCCTTCTCTTCTCCAGGCTGAACAGCCCCAACTCTCTCAGCCTGTCCTTGTACGAGAGGGGCTCCAGCCCTCAGATCATTTCCATAGCCCTCCTCTGGCCCCGCTCCAACACTTCCCTGTCCTTCTTGTGCTGAGGGCTCCATAGCTGGACGCAGAGCTCCAGGTGAGGTCTCACCAGAGCACAG